CGCCACTTCCTTTGCGCTGTCTCACTGTGCGGAACTATAAAAGGAACCACTGATGCCACTGGTAAATTTTGAGCAGCAGCCGCACATGTAAGGAGGAATTCCTCACACCCACTTTTTCAGGATGACTGTTCTCTACTGTGACGGTATTTCGGTTTGATTTGACAAAGCTTACCAAAACTTCTGCTCGCCTGTATATTTTGTGTTATAGCATGACTGCATACGCCCAACTGGCTAAAAAGATAAGTAGCTTAAATCAATGTCTAAAGATAAGCTAGAAAAGCTTGTTGTTCACCTTGTTTTGAAGTTTTTCAAGCAGCTTGATCATCAAAGTTTTGGTAACAATAAGCCACTGGTTAACAGTGTGCGTTTTATGAGCAATCAACAAAAAAGTGCGGACGTCTCGATAATTTTGCTGCGAGCATGAAAGAACTGAAGACAAAAAATGATGCAAGGAACAAAAAAGTTGCTGGCGCAGAGCAATACAGCAAGCTGAGTATTTTCGAAACCAAATATAAGGACCCCGTATGCGAGGTGAAAAAAGCGCTGTCACTTTGAAAACAATCACTAAGTCTAATAAATGTCATGTTTCATCTTCCGATATTGAAACTATCTGTAGCGCGTCGAGCAAGACATAACAAAAGAAAAGTATCACCCGATTTTGCTCGCGTACCACGAATATTGAAATTTTTCGAGGCGCGCTTAAGGCACGCTTCCGCGCTTCTCAGCTACGCTTGTCGGGAAACTCTGAAAATGCCGTTTATTTAATGATCCCCTGAATATTGCTAGAAAAAGCTGTTTAGTGAAGCGCTTGCTCTCAAAAAAAAAATAATTCAAAGGGCGTTACCTTTCGACTGATTACTGCCGCATTTGGCGTGAAACTGAAAAGAACAAGGTGCCCAGGATATTTTTGATTCTGATCTTTATGATTGATTGATTGATTGATTTGTGGGGTTTAACGTGTCAAAACCACTATTTGATTATGAGAGACGCCGTAGTGGAGGGCTCCGGAAGTTTTGACCACCTGGGGCTCTTTAACGTGCACCCAAATCTGAGTACACGGGCCTACAACATTTCCGCCTCCATCAGAAATGCAGCCGCCACAGCCGGGATTTGAACCCTCGACCTGCGGGTCAGCACCCGAGTACCTTAGCCACTAGACCACCGTGGCGGGGCGATTCTGATCTTTATGTCTTGTGCATATTACCCTACAAATCATTCACCATACTCTCTTGCTACAGCCTCTCTGCATGTCATTCTTCTCAACAGAAGATACCAAACCACTGCTCAATGTAAATGCGCAATTCTACTCGTAAATGCAATAAGCTCACGTGCAATCCATGCCAGCATTGCTACATATATTGACTCACTTACTCATTTTTTTTTCACTTCTATGCATCTCCGAAACCTGGCTTGGAGCTTCTGAGAGCAACCTATATAGTTTTCCCACTTGCCATTCTGAATATTGCAACCGAAACTGAAGTCGCCACAGCGGTTCACCTATTTTATATGTGAAGCAGCTTAGGGTAGAGCTCAATCAGGTGTTCGACGTGACCATTTTCACTGCGCAAGCGCATCAACTATCCCTCTCTTTCCTCTCCTAATATTCCCCGCTCTCACCTTACAACGCCGACGCGGGCGGCGTCTGCTAGTGAGTTACTGGATTGAGCAAAAAAAAAAAAAAAAAAAAACGGACTGGTCGCGTTTCAGAACCGTTCACTGTCACCACACCGTATATATAGGCACAAAATCTTGACCTCCAAAGCAGTGGCTGTGGCAGATTTCTCCTGTGCGTTATTGAAAAATAAAAATTCTTTGCGTTCGCATTAACCTAAAGCGGTCTGTGGGTCTGTGTTTAGGTCAGAGTCTTAATTCTCTCATTGCCAACTAAAAACAATTCGCAAGTTACAGTAGTCGCTGCGTGCTTCGCTTGCCTTTCCCCAGGTTTTTCGCCTGCACAACGCCGTGACGACTATCAACGTCAACTCTCCGCCAGTTTAGGCGCTTGCACCCGCTGCTTCGCATCTACACATGATCCTGTTTAGCTGGAAATGGTGTATTTTTTATTTCATGAGCAATTACCAAGAACGAAAGCTTGACTAATGTTTATATCTATCTTATTGTCATTCTGTGTGTATCAACACACCCTTGACTTCTAGCAATCACAAGAGTCAGTTGCATTTATCGTTCGCCATATTTCCTACACCTAACTTAAAAATTGTTTTTGTAATCTTTCGAAATGTAGCTGCTGAAAAGAAACATATTTTAGTGGTTCGTGAAAGTAGCAATATCCAACTCAACAGAGACAACTCTCTTGTATTAATATACACCAATTGCTGTGTTGGTTTCAAATTGGAATCGTTGATCATTTCTTGAACTAAATATTCCACTCCTGAATAAACTCTTTCCTTGATTATGCCTTGTGTAATACAACTCCATCTCCATTTTCAGGTGCCCATGATATTCAAGTCAGAGATAACAATCCTATTTTCATTACTCTTGCTACAACTATATCTCAAACAAACACTTAACACTCATCAACAAAAAAAAAATTCGAGTTATCCGCGACATCTCTTACAGGAAACCATTCAATTTAAAATGGGCCCAAAAAAAAAAAATTTTCGCTTACACATTCTTCTCGCCCAACAAGACAGTCGCAGCTGTTCTGTATGAACGCACCGGGCGTCGCATCTCTTTAAAAGCGTCACTGTTTGATATGGCAATAATGTATTGTTTGCCGCGCTGGTTAAGCTTTTCCTTGTTTGCTTTCGTTACCAACTCTTCAACTAAAGAACGCAGGGCAGGGAGGAAGAGAGGAGAGTACACTAGCATAGGGAGCCAGCGAAATCAATTACTTGGTAGATTATCTTTCAGACAAATTCAGTGTTGACTCACCGCTGAGGTATCTTGATATGGTACTTTAGCGGACGGTGTACTACTCGCCACAATTCCAACTAACTATTTTGCTGGAGAATTCATTCGTAAAGCATGTCACACTATCGACGAAAGTTCAATGAAAATGTACAAAGCCCCTCGCAGCCACCGCTAGCCGACTTACTATTGTTTCTCGCGTGCGAACTTTGTGTTTTTTCGCGTGACAATTGTTCTTGCGTGAGCATTGGATCAAATAAATAGTCCTAACGAAATTGTCTAGAAAAACATCTGGACACATAGCTGTCTTGACACGGATGGTGTAATACTCCAAATACTTCATAAAAAATGGGACATTTCCGCAAAGTCCCCCAAGATCAGTAAGCAAAGTATATTGCTACGTCATCAATGCGTGGTCGAAATATCACAGGCCGAAGGAGGTAGCATGGTTAAGCACAGATAACAATCTGTGCGTTGTAACGTAGTAAAAATTGTGCAGAGGCAGCAACAGTTTTGGGGGATGCCATTTAGTGCTGCGGAAAGGTGGGTAAAAAATGAATTAACTGAACACGAAAAGAGATAAATAACGGGATGGCTTACTCGGCACACCATCTTTATTTATGCGGCGGCATATGACGATATAAAAGCCCTAATGTATTGTCGAGACAAAAATCCCTCAGCGTGCCTAATACCTGATGTGCACCACGTACAAGAAAAAAAAACGTTTCAATGCATAGGTCACTCATTACCATTCTAGCTAAGATAAAAAAGAATTCACCATCAAGAAAAGTTGCACAGCAATTGATTGCATTTGCAGTTGAAGAAATAGCATGTGACGTGTGAAGACGGAAGATTGGCTGATGTTTACGTGAAGTATAATTTCTTACCGTGTCAATAATTTTGCGCCCTTATAGCATTGCCAATCTTGGTAATGTATTCCTGGTAAGAGTTAGTTTCTTCGTTTGCTTCTGTACTATTGTCTGCATTTTATTCGGGCTCCTAGAATTTCCACAGTGCAGCTGTCCCAAGTCGCCCTAAATATTTGCTTTTGGAGAATGCTATGAAACTATAACCACTAGTTAGTGGTTCAAGTTAGGTATTCATGCTAGCTATATTTGTATAGGCCGTGCTACCGGACTTTTGAACCAAATAAAGTAATGCCAGTCGATCATGAAATGGAGCCTGCCATCGGCCGCCATTGGAGGCGAACTTTTGGCGAGCGCCCAGGCACGTGTTCACTAGAGACACATTGTGGTACTATAGACAAACTGGATGAGTCATTGCAAAAAAGTTGAGGCAGGACAGGATATTAGAAAATGATTCGTGCGATAGTGAGTAACTTCTTGCGATACACGCTATAAATTCTGTGGCAACGTGTAACTGCAGCAGTCTGTACTATACAAAAAGTTACGCTCGGCCACGGCAGCTGCAGCTGTCTGTAATATGAAACACATTATACTCAGCCACGACCGCTGAAACTGTGTCCCAAGTCAGGTTAGGCTAGGGAAAGTTTCACATATGCGTTACATTCATCGCACATTTGCCCGAAAATGTCCAGTAACGCCCGTAGTATTAAGAAGGGCCGCCCCCTGAGCCTTATAGCTATAAGAATCAATGAAATGATCGGTGGTAATGTGGCCCACTGACGTTTACATGTGTCCACACGTTTATCGAATGTGTATGACAACACATCAAAACACTGCACAATAAAATTCCTGTGTCATTGGTTCTAGCGCGTTGCCAAGAAGTCCCGCCAAATTTGTTTATCCTGGGCTACGCGCGACGTGACCTCGGAACGTGACACGTAAGGCGATTAGAGCGTAAGCGTCGAGGAGGTTACGCGACCTCGTAGTACGCGTAGCTTCTTTGCGCATGCCGACCTTTGAAATGACCGCCGGGGAGTTGCAAATATCCACACACAAAAGCGATGAAGACATGCAACAAGCCGGAGCTCCGATAACTCCCCTCATGACGAGAGGAAGTTGTGACTGTCGCACATCTCTTATTCCGAGAACAGTGAGCGGAAGACGAACGCCCTAGACGGGGGCAGATAAGCAAGCGTGTATCATCAGTGGGCGACTGTGACTTGTCAAGATGACTCAAGGAATGTCAAACCGCGTGGCCTGCTTCGAAAACGTTTTCATAGGCGTATGTGTCGTCTCATTTTTTTTTCGCGATTATCACACGTCACGTAGGGGCGTGGAAGAGAACGCTGTTCCTTGCCAATAACTGTATAAGTTGCTGATTCGTTGCGAGAGCTCTTGCGAAAAGACCACGGGAAATTGCACATCTTCGTGAAGGAATCAGAATCACCTCTTTTTTTGTTGGTTAGTGCAGGCGAATGTACTATATCGTAAAAAGGAACTCAGCGAAACTTGACGGCTCAAAGAAAGCGGCGAGCGCTTAGTATCGTCCTCTAGACTTGGAAGCGCAGCTCTCACGAAGACACAGTGGATCACGGCGGCGCATCTATGGACCTGTATTAAGACAGCACTGAAGCTCATCAAAACTCTATCAAAAGCAAGTTTCGGACGTGTAGAACGTTGTTGCGCATACAAGCGAAGTAAACAGATAAGTGCAAGCTCTAAATTCTGAACAAGCTACCGAAAAAAGGTAATTGAAATTTCGAGGAGAAAAACTGGACATACGGAAACTGCAATGTGGTTGCTGTCATTCTGCGTGCTCGTGATTCCTGGTGTCGCCCTCAGTGCCAGCCTCCCCGGTGGCTTTTACCGAAGACGAGTGGATGCTGATCCCATCTACAAGCAGATGGCACACTTCGCAATAGCGGAGCACACTGCAAACCACGAATACTTCGACACGGTGCTGGACCTCTTCCAGGTAGACGTTCAGGTAAGACAGACCCATTATCTTTGTTGTTCTAGTAGACTCTGGCACGTGGTTGAGTCATGAAGGTCGGAGATGATAAACTTTCCAACTAGAAAGACATTTAGATACAATACTGTCTGGACATTTAGTTACATTATTTTTATGTATAGATAGCTGTCACCTATACACATGATAATAACGTGTCTAAATGTCCAGACAGTAACGTGTAAACAATGTGGGCAGTGTGTGCACATTTTTACACGTTGTTATCATATAACAACAGTAGGTATGATAGCCGCGTATATATTTTAAAATTTTGTATTTCGTTAACGGTATAAACACATTGGTTTACGTGAAAAGGTAACGCGGTGTGATGAGAACCGGATCGTGTAAATTCGCAGTGCCGAATTAATTCTGCAAATTGAACTTTTCCAGCATGCAAACACAATAAAATTTCTACTCCATCTTGTTACTGGATAATATTTAGGGCTATAACTTCAGCGCAAGGTTGCATCAAAAAGCAGATGATTGCGTTGCGGATATTTCTTTCACCTTGAAACTATCTGATAATGAATTCGTATGTAGGCATCTGGGTTATGTTCCTCTCATTGTACTTGTACGCATTGTGTATTCGATCATAAAAGGTTCCACTACGAAGCCATCTGAAATATTGAAAATAAGGGTGACTCGGTGTGAATATTTTTCAATTCTTCTAAATGAGAATGGCACAGCATCTGAATATCGTTTTAAGACATTGTAAACCAGATATCAAAAGTAAAAGGTTGGTGCAAGAAATTGTGCTGAGAAATAGTATTCATTGTACAACGCTTTGCTTCGCTATACCACATATCAATTATTTCATGGTAGTTTACAGAGTGTAAGCAGTGACGCTTTTTTAGAAGCAGTCACACCTTTATTCATGTCTCTATTTCACCAAGCAAAAGAGCAACCATTTTCTGAACCCATTTTTGTGCTGAAGTATCAACGTTGTTGTCATGATTTATTCATCTAAACATTAATACTTTCATACGTTTGGTAGTTATAACTCATAGAAAGGGTTCTCAACATTAGGGTTGCCAACAAGTGCTAATTTAGGAGTAACACAGAATAAAGCCAAGTTTCCTTACCTAAATATTTTCTATTACTTTCTAGTTACTGCCTTCTTCTTTGGGTGTTTTACTCAGATTATTATTGGCACTCAATGCAATAACCTGCTCGGCTTCATTAACAGTAACAAGCTTTCCTACTACTGGCCAACCAGATGCAAACGTGCACAAGGGAACTAAATATTCCGACTGAAACATATATATTTTTGTGAAATTTGGCTAATCCTTATAATACCTTGTGATCATTTTAATACTTGCTTTGTGGAGTTGCAATATATCAAATAATAAATGTGCCTGACGAAGGGAATAAAATACCAATATGTATGAACAGAATATTCCTTATTTCGCGTAATCGTACAACCCAATCATATTGCGGTGTGTTTATGCGTTCGCATAACGTTACGCGGTCTTCGCATTTATGTACGTTGGTGCAGCAAATGAAATCAGTTTATAGACAGCATCATCATGTTTATATGAAGTTCTTCGTTGTCGGTCTTGGTTTGCGAATAAATGTTCGAATAAATGTGGTTTGCGAAAAATTCAAGCCAAATTGCAATGCGCCCACGAATTTATGCATCAGCTCGTGCTGTATTTAGTTCCTGGAAATGTGAGCAAATATGTTCAAGCTGACACGCTGCCTTTTCAGAGCGCCGCTGGCTTCAACTACAGGTTGAAGTTTACTACGGCGGAATCGATATGTAGAGGAACGGACACATACAGCCCCAACACCTGTCAGCCAAAGGTTAAGGAGGTAAGTTTAGTGTCACAGTAAAAAGGTAGTGCACATTAAGATTGATAGCGCCACTTGATGACGTGTTAACATGAATTGCTTTCAAGTTCAGCATAACAAGAATGCGACTTCTTTGAATAATTTACAGAGTTCCTAAACAGAGTTTTGTGCAATACTTTTGTGGAAAGTACACATTAAACGATCAAAAAGTACTGCCAATGAATTTGCTAGCGGCTAACACCCATGAGAGAAGCTGCGATGGCGTAGTGGTTAGAGCGTCCGCCTAGCATGCAAGAGGTCCGTGGCTCAAAGCCTGGCGCCACGCAGTTCCCAAGCGGATAAAAAAACTGTGTGGCGATGAAACTGCATTAAGAGGCCTGAGGTGCGGCCTTACCGGTGACCACCACAGGTAACGCACTCCCTCACCAGTGAAGCATTGGCCACCATGGTGCAGTATCTGGCTACTACCTCCCATATCCATACGACAATTAATTCACGGCCCTGATTACGGCGGCGGTCAGATCTGCAACGCAGAAGAGGGTGCTAAAAATCTCTGGATCAATACAGGCCGCCACTGGAACCTGAACTTGGCGACGTTTAACGCTAGAACCTTATCTAGTGAGGCAAGACTAGCTGTACTATTTGAAGAGCTAGAGGGTGTTAAATGAGTTATAATAGGGCTCAGTGAGAATAGGAGGACAGATGAGGCCTATACGGTGCTACAGAAAGGGCACGTTCTTTGCTATCGGGGCTTGTTTACAGAAGAGAACTGGGAGTGGGGTTTCTTATTCACAGAAACATAGCTCGCAATATAGAGGAATACTATAGCAATAATGAAAAGGTGGTAGGTATCTTAATTAAACTCAATAAGATATAAAGATGAAGGTGGTACAGGCTTATGCGCCTACATCCAGTCATGATGACGCTTCAGTTGAAAGCTTCTATGAAGACGTGGAATCGGCAATGAGTAAGGTAAAAACACAGTATACTACACTGATGTGAGACTTTAATGCAAAGGTAGAGAAGAAGCAGGCTGGACACAAGGCAGTAGGAGATTATGGCATCTGTACTAGAAATGCGAGAGGCGAGCTGCTAGTAAAAGTTGCAGAACGCAATAATTTACGGATTTTGCATACCTTCTACCGAAAACGAGGAAACCGTTAGGTGAACATGGAGAAGCCCTGATGGCGAAAACAAGAACGAAATAGCTTTCATAATGGAAGCACACCCAGGCATCGTGCAGGTTGTGGAAGCGCTTGGCAAGGTACGCTGCAGTGACCATAGAATAGTACCGTCTCGAATTCTCCTGGACTTGAAGAAGAAACGACAGAAACTGATACGCAAGAAGCCAATCAGTGAGCGAGCACTGAGAGGCAAAGTATAGGAATTCTGAGTCTCACTACAAAACAGGTACTGGGCCCTAATCGAGGAAACCAGCCTTAGCGTTGACGCAATAAAAGGTAATCTGACGAGTATCATTACGGAGTTTACAGTGGAAGTTGGAGGTACGTAACTTAGACAGGACACTGACAAGCTGACCCAGGAAACGAAACACCTCATCAAATCATTGAAGCATGAAAGTGTCAAGTACAAAACACAAATTAGAACTGGCAGAGCTTTTGAGGTGGATTAATAGACGTAAAGTATCCGATATAAGAAGGTATAACATCGAGGGATTTGAACACGCTCTGAAAAACGGAGGAAGCGTCAAAGTAGTGAAGAGGAAACTTGGGATAGGCAGAAATTGGATATATGCACTAAGGGACAAAGAAGGCAAAATAACTACCAATATAGATAGGATAGTTAAAATAGCGGAGCAGTTTTACAGGGACCTGTAGAGTAGCCGGGATAACCCCAAACCTAATAGTATAAAAACTAGCAGTAACACAGATGACACCCTACCAGTAACAATAGAAGAAGTCAGAAAAGCCTTCGAGAGCATGCAAAGAGCTGAAGCTGCTGCTGAGGACCAGGTAACATCGGATCTGCTGAACGATTGAGGACAGATTGTGTTGGAAAAACTAGCCACCCTGTTTACGAGATGCTCGCTGACGGGAAGAGTACCAGAGTCTTGGAAGAATGCTAACATCATCTTAATACATAAGAAAGGAGTTGACAAAGACTTGAACTACAGGCCAGTCAGGTTGATCTCCATAGTATACAAGCTATTTACAAAGGTAATTGCTAACATAGCTAAGAAAACATTAGAGTTCAATCAACCAAAGGAACAAGCAAGATTTTTAACAGGCTACTTAACAATCGACCACATTCATACTATCAATCAGGTAATAGAGAAATGCTCATAATATAGCCAACCACTATACATAGCCTTTATTGAATATGAGAAGGCCTTTGTTTCAGTGGAAATGTCAGCAGTGATGTAGGCACTACAAACCAGGGTGTCGATAAAGTATATATAAACTTCCTGGAACCAATCTACAGGGGATCAACTGCTACCATATTGCTTCGTATAGAAAGCATCAGAATACCAATCAAGAAGGGTGTGAGGCAGGGGGATACAATCTCCCCTATGATAATTAACGCGAGCTTACAGGAGATTTTCAGAGGCCTAGAATAGGAACAGTTAGAGATAAGAGTTAATGGAGAGTACCTAAGTATCCTGCGCTTCTCCGTTGACATTGCATTGCTGAGTAACTCAAGGCACGAATTTCAACCTATGAATACGGAGTTAGACAAGGAGAGCAGAAAGATGGGTCTCAAAATTGATCTGCAGAAAACGAAATTAATGTACAACCTCGGAAGAGAGCAGCGCTTCGAGATAGGTAATAGTGCACTTCAAGTTGTAAAAGGCTATGTCTACTTAGGGCTGGTAATAACCGCAGAGCCGAGCGGCAAGATTGGAGTAACTAGAAGAATAAGAATGGGTTGGAGCACATTTGGCAAGCACTCTCAAATCATGACAGGTAGATTGCCCCTATCCCTTAAAACGAACGTATATACCAGCTGCCTCTTCCCGGTACTTAGCTATAGAGAAGAAACCTGGAGACACACAAAGAGGTTTCAGCTTAAATTGTGGATGACGCAGCGAGCAATGGAAAGAAAAATGGCAGGTGTAACCTAATAAGACAAGAAGAGAGCAGAGTGGATTAGGGACAAACGGGGGTAAAGGATATCATAGTTGGAATCAAGAATAGGAAATGGACATGGGCCGGGCATGTAGTGCATAGGCAGGATAACCGCTGATCATTGTGTAACTAACTGTATTCCCAGAGAAGGCAAGCGGGTTATAGAGATACAGAAGGTTAGATAAGCAGATGAGATGAAGAAGTTTGCGGGTTCAATTTGGCAGCAGCAAACACAGGACCGACTTGACTGGCGGAACATGGGAGAGGCCTTTGTCCTTCAGTGGACTTAGTCAGGCTGATGATGAATACCCATGATATAAACACAGTTACCTTTTCGTTTGTGTATACTCTCACATGCAGACCTCTCCAGCTCTTCATTGAAGTAAATCTCTCTATCTTAATTCTCACAGAACTGTCTGTCAATCGCGATATGGTGCGGAAAGTGACATTTTGATGTAGCCAGTAACAGAGAATGCGTATACCAGATTTGCACTTTTTATTGACAAAGCTGATCTAATCTGTAACACATATGTAGCTTATATTGTGCCATTTATGCAAAGTCGGCTATCGTTGCACAGCTGCATTCACATTTATGCAGTGGGTTCAAATAGCGCCAAGTCTTCTTTTCTGCAACATAATCAGTTGAAGTTCCCAAGGCTTTTTTGTAGGACGTATGGAGTGAACATTTTCTACCCAACCGAAAGCATCACTTGATGGAAGTCGGTCTTTCAGTGTGGAGACTTGAGGAGTTCATTTTCAAAAAGAGCCAAACCAAGTAACCTAAACTCTCTCGAATAAGACTGCATGGATACGTACTTACCCTCAACTTTTCTATCAAACAGTTAAAGGAACTAAATGGGAAAATACAACCAAATACGTGTGCTCAAAGATTTAGTTTCAAAAGTAAATTGAGCCAGATTTGTGCAGTGTACGCATTGAAACGAGCCAAATGTAATAAACCCAAGTAAAGCACATGAGTGAAGCAGAGCAGCCACATTGCAAGTTCCTGCTTGAATTCTCTGCCCAAATCCAGAAGGCTAACAAGTAATTGTAACACGTCATTTTGTTAGATCTGGAAAAAAATTTGAACCTGTATGACTGGAAGGCCTGCTGTACGGCAGATATGAAATCGACGACCAGCTTCTCGGTTAAGATAACAAAAACGAAGGCCTTTCACATTAAAAGAAATGCTGATGATAAAAGCCTTAAATTGAGAGAAGAAACTCACTCTAAACCTTCCACATATAATTCAGTTGCAATTCTAAAAAAATATGAGTCCCATGCACAAACACCCGTGCAATGCTCCCTTCCCATTCACTATGCCAACGAATTCAAACTGATAGATGTGATGAGCTTTCTCTTAAAGCAATTTGGCATTTCATAGAAATAAAATCAAGAGCTTGCTTATTTACTCATTGTCTTCAGGCGTGCGAAAGGAAACGATAATACGAAAGAGTTTAAAGGGGCTTCTCATAAAGCGGAGAAGAGGCGCCGGCTCGGTGTACGTCATATATAGGCGAAGGCCCATAAATGAGTCATTGTTGCCTATGTTTGATTTGTTTTCTGCCAAGGCTCCTTCTTCATACTGCCCTTGAAAGTCAATTTAAAAGGAGGTTTCACAAGAAAATTGCATCGCATTAAAGCGGACAATATGACAAACAAATCGAAAGTTATCATGCTAGTATTCGTCAAGATCACTATTTAATTTGAAACACTTGTGGTCATAAACTCCTCCTAGCTGACACTTGAAATATATTGTGTAATATCTTTCACGGCGTTGCGTTTGTTTTCCATAATATGATTTCACTGTATTGATAAATTCTGTTCAGATGGTTTGTATCATTTTAGTTGTCGGGTTCTAGTACATTGCAAATAGCAGCATTAAAATACCAACGCAACTACAACATATGTTTATAAAAAGCTTCGCTGAACCCC